TGTATGTATGCGTGTCTGTGTGTGTGTGTGTATGTATGTATGTATGTATGTATGTATGTATGAATGAACGAACGAACGAATGAATGAATGTATGGATGTATGTATATGTATATGTATTATATGTACATGTATACGTAAATGTATATGTGAAGGTGCATGTATATGTACATGTATATGTCTATGTGTGAGTATATGCATATGTATATACATATACACATATGAATGTGTGTGTGTGTGTGTGTGTGTGTGTGTTTATGTGTATGAAAAAATGTGTATACATAAATAAATATATATATATATATATATTTATTTATTTATTTATTTATTTATATATTTATATTATATATATAGTGATGATGTACATAAACATGTATATGTATGTATAATCTATATATGTATGTATAATCTATATATATATATAATATGTGTGCGTGTTTGTGTGCGCACGCATCTGTTCTTGTATGCATATGAAACTTCTGCAGCTCCCGACGAGGCACCAACAGCTTTTCCCAACTCCTTGGCGGCTGTGCTGCTTCACTGCTGGCCAGATACAGGTTTGGGGTGCAGGGTCTCAAACGCTAGGAGAAAAGCTCGGCTGCGTCTTCTCCTGGAAGATGCTAACACACAGCCGGACAAAGCCTGAACTCTGTTTTTAAGTGGGCCCCCCGAAGAGACCCTCCAATCTACCCTGGACTGGCGAAAAGACAACAACCGAAAAAAATACTCAGCCCTGGTCTTCAAAGCTCCAAGTTTCCAGAATCTCTTCGGGGAAGGAGCTCGTTTCAGCATCAAAAGCAATCAGAAAGCTGGCCAGCGCTCCGTGGGAGTTGTGTCCTGGCCCCACTCAGACGGATTAGGGTTGGTTCCTTTACAGGGTTCCTTAAAGGGTTCTGTAAGGGCTTCTATAAGGGTTTAGGGTTTAGGGGCCTTGATAATTGGAATAGGGTTTTGGGGCCCATTATACGATAATCATAATAAGGAAACCCCAATAAAGTGTAGGTAACTATTTCCCTACATTACAGGTCCATCCCCAGTGCTCTGTCTGTAGCACTTTATCAGATGCAAGAAGTCTTCCTTCCAGTTCCTTCTCTCATCAGTCTTCCGGAAAATTGGTCCCACAGCTTCTGACATTGACAATCAGCTCGCATCCATCAACAAATTCTGACATCCACTCTGATGGGAGGTTGTTTGCCGTTCCACTGTGGGTGTGGTCGAGTGTAAGCTCATTCACGCACGCTCTCTAAGTTCACCGAAGCTAGGAAAGCAGCAGCTCCGGCAAAACTTATGGCTGGGTTTCCAATTAATCGACCTACATCCGAGCATCAACCGTGCGTATAGAGAGATCTGTAGGTACCAAAAAACGAAACATAGCACAAAATGAATCCACCTACACATGTATACATATATATATATACACACACACATATATATATATACACATACAGTCACATACATACTTACGTACGATCGGCATGCTGCAGCGATGACGCCGGCCCCCTGCCCGCGGTCAGTAAGAGCAGGCGATGGCTCCAGTGTATCCCTTCGCCTTGTTGGACGAACTACCACAACGGCTGGAAGAAAGATCTACGTACGACGGCGTAGGGTGCAGGGTTTAGACTGTAATGCTGAGGACTGTGAGGACCAGAACGAAGTGTCTGCCAGGTCTTTCTACAAAAATATCAGGCGGTCACATTGAAGACGAAACCCTGCTGTTGGGGAAAGCCTATCACCCCCAAACCAGCTCTCAAGGTCGCGGCAAGGAAGCGACAAGAGTACACAAGACCTGTGTCATGACACCGACACGCAAAAGAGTAAGCCAGAGTGATGTCAACATGGATCATAGCACGAACAGGGCGGATGATGAAAATACAGTGAACTCAGATGCAGCACGTCTGGGGTCTGCGCTTTTATTGAGGGACTGGAAGAATACCAACTGTTCAGACCACCATATTGCCACATTTGGCCGGAGATCCCAGCTGAGGCGTGGGCTAGTTAGGACCTTGAGTTCAGAAGGTAAACGCTGAATAGAATCCCGGGCCAAGCTGTTTTTGCAGACGGGCCTCTATCGCCCGTTGCACTGCGAAAGCTGACTAAGCAACCGCTAAGCCCTACACCTAAATGCTTGAACCTTTTCTTAACCTCTGACCAACCTTTTAGTTGGCCTTTGAATTGCTATCGAAAATGATATTCGTGATGAAGATGCCCCTAAACCCAGTGAGTGACAATACATAAAAAAAAACAACGGCCAGTCAGAACTCCTATCGAACCAACGTAGGACCTTCGTAGAAGTCTTTGTAGAAGTCTTTGTAGAAGCCCGAGGGGGCCATAACTTTAGAAGCCTTCTGAACTGATCAAAACCCGTACAAGAACTCGAACAAATCCCGAACCCTTCCATGACCCCTACAGGAGCCTTCTAGAATCCATGCAAAATCCTCATAGCACCCTTGCGGAACTATGTGGAGCTGTCAAGGAACCCGCATACACAACCCTCATTGAACCCTTACCGACTCCAACAAAAAGTAAACCCTAATGATAATTATAGCATAACATATAGTATAATGGGCCCCAAAACCCTATTCTAATTATTAAGGCCCCTAAACCCTAAACCCTTATAGTAGCCCCTATCGAACCCTTTAAGGAGCCCCAAAACCCTATTCTAAGTATTAAGGTCCCTAAACCCTAAACCCTTACAGTAGCCCTCGCCCTTTTACCAAAACCGATTCCGACCAGAACCCTAAACCCTAAACCCTAAACCCTAAGCCCTTTTACCAAAACCAATTCCGACCAGAAGCCACGTGCTCGAGGTCTGCTCGGTGCAGGGTTCGGCCCGGGGCCTTCTCGGAAAGGCACTTCGTTTGCGTCAGGGTTCACGGAAGTCAGGGTTTAGGATTTAGGGTGTTTAGGGTGTTTAGGGTTTTTTTGACACTCACACTGTTTAGGGTTTAGGGTTTAGGGTTTTAGGATACAGGGCCCCCTTTTGAAACCGGACTTGATGACTGCCAGCTTGCCTCCTCTGCCGTTCTTCAGCCGAGGCCCGAAAACGTCAGCACACAAGCACTAGGCACTCCAGGCACTCCGCGTTACGACCACGGAATGTTGAAGCCAAACCTCCCTGACCACTTGTGGCAGTTCCAACAGCACACAATCCTGTACAGGGACCCCTAAACATCCCTAAACCCTAAACCCTAAGTACAGGGACCCCTAAACATCCCCTAAACCCTAAACCCCTAAACCCTAAACCCTAAACCCCTAAACCCTAAACCCTAAACCCCTAAACCCTAAACCCTAAACCCTAAACCCTAAACCCTGGAGGTTCACGGAATCAAGGGTGTAAGGTTGGAGGACCTCAAAGGGGTTTTCAGGCGCAGGGAAGGGAGCGCCCTGCTCTTCGAAAAGCCTTTCAAGAGGGTTTAGGGTTTAGGGGTTTCAGGGGTTTAGGGTTTAGGGCTGAGGGTTTAAGAGGGTTTAGGGTTCAGGGTTTAGGGTTGAGGGTTTAAGAGGGTTTGAGGGTTTAGGGTTTTAGAGGGTTTA